TTGTGTGTTCTTCATTTCCTTCTATCAGAGACCCTAAAGCTGCTGCAGAGGTTACTGAAGTCCCCAGGCTGTAGAAAAATTCCTGTCCTGGTACAGAACAAGGACGACGTCATAGTCACCGCTTCAAACTTCAGTTCGGAGAGGTACTGGGTCTGTTGTTGCGAGATTCAGCAGCAGAAAGAAAATGTCTCACTGTAAGCTACGTGTGTTTGTTGTGCACCCCCAGGATGTGCCCCATCTTTCAGATCTCCAATGTGACCGGTGAGAACATGGACCTGCTTAAGATGTTTCTCAACCTGCTTTCCTCCAGGACATCCTACCGGGACGATCAGCCTGCTGAGTTTCAAATAGATGATACCTACTCTGTACCGGTACTATGAACACTGATAAACTGCTCTCCCTAATGTATTTTATCATGTAAATTTAATGCAAAAAAACAGGTCATGTGTTGTTTATGTCTTAGGGTGTGGGAACTGTAGTATCAGGAACTACTTTACGTGGGCTCATACGCCTGAATGACACCATGCTGCTGGGACCCGATCCTCTAGGAAGCTTCATCTCTATTGCTGTCAAATCAATACACCGTAAGAGAATGCCTGTGAAGGAGGTCAGAGGTGGCCAGACTGCCTCGTTTGCTCTTAAAAAGGTAGAGAAATAATAAAATCATCCACTGTCTAGTGCAGATGCTTGGCATTGCATAGGTCAGTTAAATGTTAGCAGTTTTTTTTTACTCATTAGGCCTTATTGCTGGTCTTGAAAAGTGTTATTCATCTTGATAATAGAAGGGCAGTGAAAATGATGACATGTTTTGTCATATGCTTCCTTCCAAAGATCAAGCGTTCGTCCATAAGGAAAGGCATGGTAATGGTGTCCCCGAGGCTAAACCCACAGGCAACTTGGGAGTTTGAGGCTGAGATCCTGGTGCTGCATCATCCCACCACAATATCCCCGAGATACCAGGCCATGGGTGAGTAGCAGTGACACGCTCTGTGTGTGTTTCTAGAGTCACCTTAAGGCAAAGGCAGGACATTTCAGCAAAGATTTATAGCAAAGTTTCTAAATGACATTGAACATTTGTATGTATAAATGTTATGGGACTGAAATGGTCATTTTACAACCACAGTAAGCATCAATTTTTTCTCCTTTACGTATATATTCCCCAACACTCAGTCCACTGTGGCAGCATAAGGCAGACAGCCACCATCCTGTCCATGAACAGAGACTGCTTACGAACAGGCGACAAGGCTTCAGTCCACTTCCGTTTCATCAAGACCCCCGAGTACCTGCATTGTGACCAGAGGCTTGTGTTCAGGGAGGGGCGCACCAAAGCTGTAGGAACCATCACTAAGGTAGCAAAGCCTTCTGGAAGCTGAAGGTTTATGTTGAGTTAATGCTACAGTGATCTGAGGATCATGAGCCAGGTTCTAAAGCTGTAGTTGGAAATAATATTAAGATTATGTCCAAAATGTAGAAATCATTGTAGGTTTATGTGCTCACAGATAGTTCTTTGGGACTAACGTGTTGTCTCATATCATTTTCAGCTGCTGCAATCCACCAATAACATGCCATCAAACTCAAAACCGCCACAAATCAAAATGCAGTCTACCAAAAAGGCGCAGCCGCGAAAAGAGGACGGCACCGTGGTGGCCGGTGACGACGTGGGAGCAGCAGCTCAACCGGCAGCCTCCAACTCGACACAACCGGTGAGTCACAAGTCATTAAAAGTACTAAAGCTGTATGCTGTATGTACAAATTCTGTGTGTGCGCAGTAGTGCAGTTCCTGCGTTTCTTCAGATTCTGATTACTTACCTCGAAGTTGCTGTTCTAACTTCTGTTTCCTCCTCCTCTTTTTTTCTCATGTAACATCTTGTCTGTGAATCTATACACTGCTTTGTAATATTTCACCCTAAATTTTAACTCACCCACATCACTCCTGTACACTCTCTCCATCTCCTTTGCTTTCGTGGCTGGCTCTCAAAGGGAGAGGGAGATGATGACCCTCAGTTAAAGGAGGGCAACAAAGAGAACAAGGTAAACTGTGTTGACAGAAAACAAAAGCAACAGTGAGGCTGAATTGTGGAGACTGGACTCTGGTCTTTGCATTTGTTGTTGTTTTTGGCATTGTGATGCAGTGCAGCGACTGCCTTATTGAGCGGTTTCGTTCTATCTACGTTACAGCCAAAGTCTGGAGGTGGTGGAAGGAGAAGGGGTGGCCAGAGGCACAAAGGAAAAGGCCAGAACAGCAGCACCAACCCCACAGCAGCGCCTTCCTCATCGGGGATAGGGAGCTGCTGAAAAGCCCACGGGTCCCATTTCTTCCTGTCACTCCACCAAGTGTCTTCATTCCACACACCATGAAGGAAGCAGATGTTTGGAGCAAGACACTCTCCTCAGTCTTATTACTCCTCGCCTTTTTTAGTTTTATTGGGTTTCTGGTTTTTTTTGTTTGTTTTTTTTACACCAGGTCCCGTACTTTTTATTTAATTATTTTTGAAAGGGAACACAGAGGGGTATGTCTCACACTAAAAGCATACACCTCCTAAGCATTTAATATCAGCTGCCTTTACCATTTCGAATGGCTTGGGTGATTGAAAGCAGTGTGGTTTTTGAGGTTAGCCTCACTCAGGATGATGAATATATTTAATTTTATCCATATTTTATGCGTGTCTGAAAACAGTCCTCTGGCTCAGTTTCAGGGGCAGGGAGGAAGGATAAACCCAAGACAAGGGTCCAATACCTATATTTACGAGCAGCTATTAGTGACACCCATGAATTCCCTGTGTATTTGCAATGATAAACAGTTGTACTATTTATACAGCATTAATTGCCTCTTAGTTTTACTGATTGGAATGATGTACAAAATGTATGCAAATCACAAATGTAGCAGAGTTGATTTAAGATTCTAGGTATACAGAAAATATAAGCTGTTTTCTTTTATAATTATTTATTTGACATGCAGAACATTTATTCTTGGATGGTCTTTATTTTTTGAGATAAGTTCACTTGCACACCTAGATTCAGTAGTATGCGTCATTCTTCCATCGTCGGTCTATATACAAACCTTATAATAGTGTTAGTACCAATACAGCACAGTTTCTCACTTCAGCAGCTGCTACTGATTGTAATACTTGCCGTACTTGCAGTGCTACTTGTAATTCTCATATCCCATGTGTTATGGCTTGTTGCTGTAGACATATTGTGACATTTTAAACCCCTTGCTACAAGAAAAGAACCATTAATAAACACAGTTTACTGAACTTTTCAACAGTGCTGGCTATTGTGTTTCCATATTTTCAATATTTCTGACATTATTTGCAGTAATATTATTTGCATGGATGTAACCCCTCATTTTCCATCAAGATGAGCCCGCACTGCTTCAGCTATGTTGAGGCCTGGGCTCTGGGAAGAAAAATCCATGACTGACAGCATTCTATTGTGTTTTTCTATCCAGATGTGCTTTTTTGGGGGGCACTGTACTCAAAATCATTGAGGTTGTTGACAGATGCTTTCCAGATGGTACTAATGCTTTATACATCCATCAATATTGACATGATCCCCTACACCACTGGCTGAAGTGCAGGTCAAAATCCTTACACAGTTGCCACCAGTTTCTACAGATGCCTGCAGACACTCACTGTTGTGCCTCTCTCCAGACCTCCTATGTACCAAACGTTTCAAATGTGCAGTTATCACTCCATCAGACCTGTTGCCACTGCCTTTCTGTCCAGTTGTTGTGTAACCCCAGGCTTTTTCTGCCAGTTTCCTTTCCTCAAAAATGGCTTCTTGACAGCCAGCCATTCTTGAGACCATTTCTGACGAGGCTTCAGTGAACAGTAGATGAATCAACTGCAGAGCCAAATGCAACTCTAGCCCTGTCAGGTCTTTGCTGGAATTTTTTAGTTCAGAAAAATTACTTTCAGATACTGTTCTTCTGTTGTCATTTTTGAGACCTGCCACTTCTTTTGTGCCCCTTTTGTCAATCTTCTTAAGGACAGATTGCACACCTTGCAAACCTTTGGCTGATGGATTCACTTTGTTGGCTATTTTATGTCTGCAAAACTATTGCTCAAGACCATTTCAGAAAAGTTTAAGTCTGTTTCATTGGAAGCAAAGTAAGAAGAAGAAATGTGGGGTAACTCAATGTTTTGCAAAAATGATTTGCCAGGAGAATAGCTGTTTTTCTTCAGTAAATCTTTAGTTAAATTTTGTACAGCAGGACTTATGGATTGGTGAAATATTATTTACTGTAAATGATATTAGTGAAAAGAAAGAACTGTTAATTTGACAATTAAGTAAAAAGTCATGTAGACCTAAGAAACAGCTCTAAGTATTTTCTTTAAGTCTAAGGGATAAAAATCAAAAGAACAAAGTCAAAACCTTTGTCTTAAAAACAGTAATGAACATGTTTCATTACATGTAACACAGCTCACTGAACTTGATACAGTTTATTTCTGGATGTTTATGTCAAAGCTAGAGATCAGTCTGTAAAGCTTTATGTAAAATACAGATAAAAAGTCCTATGTTTGAATTGCCTTAATGGTACATATAGTCACAAGCATATACAAAAAAACATTACAAAGTATAGACTTGTATGTGTAGTTATCTTTTATACATATATAGGTGTAACACAAATTATCTGCTTCATGTACATTATATTATACAAGACAGACGTTTTACTACCACTGCTTAGGTAGCACATATACCCATAGTTTTATATCACAACTTCACAAGGCTTTACTTGGCATGTGCAACATTTAATGAAGTATTTTGTGGAATTTGTGATACTGAGGTAAAATACATTCCACTTGAAAATAGTTTGTAACTTTACAGCTTTGTGTTTAGTAATGTTCTAGTTTGGCCTTAAATCTTTAAAGGATGATGAGGATGAAATTTAGGATAAGGTTACAAAAACTTGTGTTCATCATGGCAACATTATGAGCAGAACCAAAGAATAGATTGTATTTCTCACCCACTCATGCACCATGAGCTTCAGGTACTGGAAAAAAAAAATGCTGTTCGGTCATATGTTGTAGTCTGTCCTAGATGTACAAACTCTTTCTGTGGCAGGAGTGTGTAAGATGTTTATATAGATATATTAGATATATATGTATTTAAACCTTGCAGTGAAACCTCCAGTACTGGGTATTGATCCGTTTAAATTATGTACAATGATGTGCACATGCTTCAGCCAACACGAGCCAGTTGAGTTTCAGTCATTTGGGTGTTACCATTGTCCAAAACTGACACAGGATGAGAGGGTGAACCGGTTGGTGAAGTAGTCACTTCTTTTAGCAGGCTGACAGTAGTGTCTAGATTTCTTGTCTCTGCACTTTTTTTTAACATTTAAAGAACAAAAAAAAAAAAAAAAGGCTAAGCTATGACTTTGAGACCAAGTTGTAGGTTTCAGCCATTTTTGCTGCACATTTATCCATCAATGTCCCAGCTGAACAGGTGATGTTTCACCAACATATCCTGCACTCCCTCTTTCAGTGGCTTCTGCTCCTTTTCCTGGGACATAAATGAAATGTGCAATGCTTTTACTTGAAGTCAAAAGTTAGTAATGCATCACCTGACAGAAACACTAATCAGCAATTTTAATGAAAATATGTTTTATTATCTGCCTAAAAGAATATTGCCTTAATTAAAAAACAAAACAAAACAACACAACGAGTTACCATCTGGAGTCTGAAGGGGAAAAAAAAAATCATGATACTGACCGCACATGATGACTATAGTTTCGACAGTCAGCATAATAATATAGAAGTGAAATCAGTAGATCTCATAGAGATGCAGCTTTTTTCCCCCCAGAGGAGACAGTCTGACTTGCAGGAAGGAGATGGTAGCGTGTCACTAATAGCACTAGCAACTGCCATTTCTAGTCTACTTCTACAGTGGCATGGAAAATTTTCTTCTTTCAAAGATTTATTCTACAAATGTGCCACCTCACTCTGAAAATGAAGGGTAAAAGAAGACAAAGAACACTAATACCTACGCGAATCTACCGATAGTTTGATGAGCGACATTACCTAGAGATCCCAACTAAAGAGGTGATGCTGAACCAGCACTTCCATAACTTCTGCTTTCAGAATAGCAGACTTCTGAAACAGTATAAGTCATAATGTTTTTCGTCACTTAGTTTTAACAAGTCGTCCTTGATAGTAAGACTGGCTCACAACCGCTCTATATTGAGAAGCTGTCACATGCTCCTTGACTCACCTCTTTTTTGTCGGGAAGCTCACAATCTTGGGAGAGACTGAAGGCAAACTTTGACAGGACCCTGAAGAGAAAACAAGTTTGTTAATCATTATCCTGATTGATACACAGCTTCACTTTGTTTAACTTTTACCCTTCAAGCTTCTTTCACATGTATATTCCTGTTTTTACACGACTGAATTCTGTGTGGAAAATGCAAAAGATGGCTCGTGGATAAGATACAGCCAACTTCAAGAATTTAACACTCGGTAACCATCCCTGATTTGAGCAGACTGACCTGAGCTCACACTTGATTTGAACCCATCCGGGGCTACGAAGGAATGACCATGGGTGATACCATTTTTCTACAGCCGCCATGCTGGAGCACAACACCTCCAACCATAAGTGCAGCACCTGCTCACTGAAGAGAAACATGTTAAGATTCAAACAGACTCGTTATGAAAATATGATTCTACAGAGTGACTTTGATGATTTCAATTCTACATGCATGTGTGATGAAACTTACTTCAGGCCAACACACACAAGAGACCTAAACTTGACATCCATTTGGGCATGTGCTGCATCATGGCTCATGTTGACTGACTGCACTGCCTGAGAAGGTAATCAAAGGGAAACAGTCATGCACTTTATCAGTCCTCAGTGCTACACGGCAACTTTACAGACTAGAAGCTAAGCCTCATATTACTGACAAAACACTTGGTGATTAATAAATAGAGTGTTCACTCACTCTGTAAAGCAGCTCCTCTGGCGTTAGTACTTTTCCATCTTCATCTAACCTGGTAAATCCCAAAGACAACCACTTGTTACTTCCAAATCTCTACTAGCAGTAGTGCAAAAAGCACACAGTGTACTGAGCATACAGTTAACGGTAAATGGCCCATTTATGTTCTTAACAAAGCATCATGCAATGCTAATTAAAGTCAAGTGCATCCCTGATGGCCCCTGGAGAACATTACAATTTGGGTTAATATAGCAAAGAATAACACTTTCTGTACACCTCACCTGTAGGTTTTACACAGGACTAGCCTTGAGTAAACAGAATTGAAGTCCCTCTCTACCTCCCTGCTGGCCGCCTGAGTAAAAAGAAGATGATTTAATTTAAATTTTCAGTTTGACAGACCCATGTGCGATACATGGTACTATGATGACAAAACGTTTTCCTACCTCCTCTATGAATAACCACGGGTGACATGGCCCTCCAAGTATAGATGGTTTCTTCAGACCATGCTGAAAGATAGCCTTCAGAGCTGGACATAGAGTCCCTCTGGCCAGGTCTGTCACTGCCTCTGTCACAGAGTCGTCACCTGCTAGTGAGTACTGAAGACATGTACGAGATCGTCAATCACTGTTGAAAACACTGTATGATTTGACAGTCAGGACATTACAATAATAAAGAAGCAAAGACAAAACCGGGTGCATAGTTGATGACATCGAACACTGGAAGAAACATCAGCTAACTGGACAATTTCAAAGTGCTTAGCTTTAATTAAGAGAATAATGTAAGAATGTGCATACCTCCTTGCTCCTTTCATCAAGGATCTCAACAAACTTTGCTGGAAACCAGCCTGTTAAAGACAAAATTTATCATACAGCAGATAATTACTTACTGATCTTTTATATCAGTTGTTTCTATTGTTACATTTTACTTATTTACTTTAACTTGATTCCTTTTATAATTTTATCCCATATCTTTTACACAATTTTACTTATTTTGCACATTTTACTTATTATCACTTGTATAATTCTTTACTTTCTTTTTCATTTTTAAATGTGGAATGTAAATACATCTGCCTTTGGATCAGCTTTTTAAAATTTTAAATGTGCTAGATCAATAAAATTTTTTTGGCTCTTTATATTAAAAAATATATATATTATTTTTTTAAATCCCACATACCTCTAAGGCTGTTGAGTTCACCAACCCAGCAATGTTCGTCCTTTTGCGAAATAATCTGAGCGACAGAAGAATACAGCAGGATGAGACACAGAGACCAGACGGTGTTAAAGCTGTGCTTCTTTTTTGCCAGCATTTCTGTAAATTATGACTCACAGTGATGATGTCATTCTTTCTAAAGCCCAGTTCATCATCATCATGACGCTCAAAGTCTAGCAAAGCCTTTGCTCGTCTCCGTCGGTTGCGAGATACCACAAGAAAGTTTTCATGATCCCGCTGATGACTCTCCATGGAGTAGTCTGGAGTCAGATCCTAGACAGAAAAAATGGAACGGATCGATATGAAGTCAAAATGTGAGAAAATAATAATCTTAAAATTAATTCCACAATTTGGAAGTATTATAATGCTACAGACAGCAAATGAAAGTACAGCATGGCTGATGCGCTGTTTATTTTGGTTGATTGGTAGTTCAGAACAGGACATAAACACTCACAGTGCTGGAGTGGCGTGGATCCAGACAATGGAAGTGCTCTGCAATGCGGGTTATGGCCTCTCGCAAGGAGGCCACCAACTCAGTCTGCTTTATGTTCTTTGACTTCAAAGCTTCTGCCTCATCCTCCCCAAAAAGCAGGGAGGTCAGGGTGGATTTCCTGCGCAGCGACTGCCTCCTCACCACCTAAACATTTATCAATAAAATCTCAATTTTTTCCCCTCTTTTTGTTTAACAAGATTTTTAGAGGAAAGTAAATATACAACTCCTACTCTCCCTGTCTAAACCACATGGCTAATAAATTATGCCAATACTATAATGACTGACCTTGTTGAGATTGGTGTTGAGTGTTGTGTTGTTGCCATTGCTGAGCTGTGCCTGTTCATTTAGGATGTAGGCTAGGTGCTTGTGTCTGTGAGCTTCCAGAGTTTCTTGGGAGAGTGTCCCTGCTAGCCTCATAGCCTCCCCTAGAACTGCAGGTGCGTCTCTCAGCTGGCTCGGCAAATCCGAAAGAGTATTAAAAATGGATGCAGAGTTCTCTGATGACACAAGTTCCTCCTCCTGGAGTCAAGAAGTAAATTAAATAAGATTAGGATTAGGATGATGGCTTTATCTTCCATCCTAATTGCTCTCCCCCAAAGAAAAAAAATCTAATTGGTAACTGCACATACCGACTAAAGAAAACAATAACAATAAATGTAAAGCATTCAAGAAAAATACAAACTGCAAGAGGCTATTGAGATTCAGCAGAAGTACTGTGGCTAACCTTGATCTTGAGCATGCCCAGTGTCACCTGGAAAAGCACAAGTGACCCTTCATAGAAGAGCAGATCCCAGATTCTTAGGAGCAGACGGATATCCACCACACTGGCAAATGATGTCAGGAACCAGTGCAATGTGATCAGTGACAACTCTGGATGTTCAAAAAAAGAAGATGATGTTACCTACTCTATACAATGTACAGTATAGGGTGCAACTCACAACCCTTTTTCCACAACCCAAGGACTAAACTCTCATTATCTTTCTTGATGCTTGATCCTACCTATGTCATGCTCCTGCAAAAGGCGGTCAAGGGCCGGCAGGTACTGAACAATAAGTTGGCGGAGAACTCTCTGATCTGTTTGAACGCCCAGCAGAGTGGAGGAAAAGTAAGATGGAGGAAGAAGATCTTCGATCAGGGCGCACATCATCCATAGTGCATCCTCCTCCTCGAGAAAGAGCAACAGGCAGGAAACAACCTGGATGGATGAGACAGATATGAGAAACAATGAGAGCGTAAAGAGGAGAATACCTTCTATGCTGAATCAGCTGCTCTGAGTAATGTAACTGATCAGACAGACTCTCTATGTATGTGTTCTTACCATGCCAGTTCCCTGACAGTACCCAATGTCAGGGTAGAGCCATGCTAGGCTTCTCAGTACACGTCTCAGCCTTGGCACTCCAACACTGGTCAGACTATTGAAACACGCATTGGTTGGCATAGTCCGTAACAAGTCCTTCTCTATCTGAGGGACAAAAGATTAAGACGGGATCATCCCATTATTATTTGAAAGATCTTTAAGGATTCTGCAGAGCAAATGAAGAAAAATAGTGCAAAACACCCTAATGCTTGAAGTCTAATCTCCAAATGTGTCAGACAGATTTGTTGACTGTGTTTAGGCAGTACTTTTTGAACTTAATAATAATAATAATAATAATTACAATAATAAGTCTTCACACATTTATACAGTTAGGCATTTTACCTGTTTAGCAACTGTGGTGTCATCATTAGAGCTGTTCTTGATGATTTCTCTGTAAGAGATCTCAGAGGTCCTCTTCTTTTGAAGGGCTCCAGACAGACGCATCCAAAGCTAGGAGAGGAGGGGGAAAAAAAACGATGTTTCAGTAACATCACTATATAACTAGCTTGCTTTAACAGTATTTTAGACTTCTAGTCAATGCTACAAGAAACAACACTGATGGTAAAGCTTACCTGTGGTCTCATACTATGAGGTATTCCTCCTAGCACCAAGGAATGCAAACGCTCAGAGCGTGGAAGGACAGGATCAATAAGATCCCAGGTCAGGTCACCTACTGTGTGGTTATGGGTGAACTCCAGGTGGGCTTGCCAACGCAGTCGCTGCTGGGCGTCTTCACGCTGGGGCGAGCCCTCAGTGCTCAGCCAAGACTTAGGCTCCCCACCATCTAAGAGAAAGTAATATATTCAGCCTTAACTTCAGCTTTAGTTTGTTATCTGTGCAGGCTCTATATTAAAATTGTTATAACTTACAAACTCTTGGATTAAGGAGAACAAAATAATGGAAAATGGTACCAGCTACAATACTGTGGGCATGCACTGCAGAGATATGAAAGGTGCTTCACTTAAAACAAACTCAGCTGAGTCTCTAGGAGGACTGGAGAGAGTAGTCTCCTTTTTCATGAGTTGTCAACCAGCACACTTCAGAGAAGCAGAGAATTCTGCTTTCATCATTCATGACATTGGAACCATAATTGTGTGTATTTGGATTGTTTTTTAAAAATCACAACATTTTGGCTGATAGATTAACAAAACCTTTTTCTGGGGTTTAAAACTCAAAATACACACTCAAAGACAATTCAATAAATAGCCTTCTTCATTGTCATAATAGGTCAAGGCTGGAAAAACCCTGAGATCACATGCACTTCACCTACATAATAGAGCTACTATGCTCATATCTAAAAAAAAAAAATTTTCCCTACTGCGATTCACCAAATGATGATAAAAAAAGTTTTAAGATAAAAAAAGAATTGTCTGTGTGTGAATGAGAGAGAGCAAAAGAGAAGATAAATGAAATACCCTCTGTGTCCACCCTAAAGCCAAATTCATCATACTGGAGTTCAGGCTGCTGTGAAGAGTCTTTCTGCAGAAACAAAACAGTGACATGCATTTAATTGGTGAACATCTCATAGTAGAAACATGACTATATCAAACAAACGTGGCTATAAAGAAGTGAGATTAATGGTTTCAGTGCCATTAAAGGAGCAGTGTTTTAAACTGATGAGATCACCATGGTAACTTTTGCTGAACAACGTTACCTTCGCCCATACAGGCTACAGTAGGTGTTTTAGATATAAACCGGCAGCACAAAAACACATTTTAACTACGTTTTTCCTCTCAATTTAAAAGTAACCTCAGATACATTATATACAAACCTGTGGGTTATTTAATTGGTGATTTAAAAACTAAATATTTATGGTTAGTCGTAAATACCTGATAATGAAACTGGTAGAACACAGAAAACAAAAACGATAAGTCTACTGATATTCATATCAAACCAATACATGGATTATACACAATCAAAAACTTTTATTTCACTTTGATTTGGGCAAACACTAAAGGGAATTCCACCCCTCTTTCACTGTGGGACCATAACCTTGAATGCACTTAATTTTTTACATATATTCTTTATTTTCTTTCTTTTTTTTTTGTTGAAGAAAACTAAATAAAGATGGATGGAGATGTGTGACAGCTTTTAATATTTTTTTCTCAATTTCTAAAATCTGAAATGTTCGATTTCTCAAGAAACTTGTTTTATCAACAATGTGGGAAACCATATTCTTACTTGATGGTACTTGGCCAAAATGTCCTGGGGCCACATACTTGGGGTAAGAGCCGAGAATGGCCCACCAGGTGCTGGAGTGTAGGTACCTAAAAGAGAAAAAAGAAAAAGAAAAAAGGTCTTATTATATCCATCTTCATCTGCTCACACTCACACAGACCCACACACACACACACACACACACACACACACACACACACACACACACACACACACAACACACACACACACACACACACACACACACACACAATTACATAGCCAATCAGAGCCAAAGTTCGCAAAGAAATTACATTTTGCAAATATACCTGACATTTTGCTGATTGAGTTCAATATGGTGGGACACCTGGGAGTAAACAAGTCAGCTGATAGCCACTCTATAGGAAAGAAACAGATGCTGAGAATCAGTTGGCAGTTTAATTTCTAGATCGTCAACATTTGCATTTTTCAGAACGATGCTGAAGCTAGTCAGTCCTCCAGCTGACATAGAATAGAATAGAATAGAATAGAATTCAAACCTGTTGTGACACGTTATGTTTGTGGGAAAATCTCCAGACACATAAATGACCTTTACAACCACTAACCACATCAAATTAGCAGACATTATAAATGTGTTTGACTTCACTGTTTCAGTAGCAAATGTAATGTTTGAAATCCTTCGGATACCATAATCTGTTACTCAGGACCTCAGTCCATTTTGATACTACCTAACTGCTAAACAAATACACCATTCCTCAAAACAATCAAGTACAAAGAAATTGTTCAACAGACCAACAACAATGTAACAAGGCAGTGCCCCTTCTTCTAGAACGAACTTCTAGAACGAACAGGACATGCAGAGCTTCGGCACAAACACAGAGAGGAGAAAAGAAAAAAAAACGAGATAAAGAGAATTCTTGTTTCTCTCTTCAAGGCGATATGAGTGCTGTAATTACCAGAGGCTAACTATTCTACTAAACTCTTTGTGTATGTACAAATGTGTGTTGTGATGCTCTAAATGTAGAGCGCACATCTTGGGGTAAAATTAACATTCTGTGAGAAAACCATAAAATGACTTGCGCCTACAAACACACAACAAAGACTTAACATACCATGTATTTATGAGCTTTTGTCTGCAAGATTTTAGCCTTTGCATTAAAGCTAAAAAAGTGACTGTTTAAGCATATAAATAAATTACATGGCAAATATTGGCAATGAAGGGGAGCAAAGTGAGCCATCCCTCTACAGCACTGCGACAAATACCATGATCTCATCTAACTGTTGGTACAAAGTTGTTAACCTCAGTACAGCCTTTCTGTGTTTTAGATATTATCATTAACAATGGTGTTTCCACAAGCTAATATTCACAACTTTAACTCAGGTCCACACACTTTGCACACTATGTAACTGCAGTGGGTGAACCTGTCCTTCACCCACTGTCTGCTCCGGTATAATATCCACTCTAATAACAATGTAATAAAATAAAATATATAAATAAAACAAAAAGATTAACAAGAGAAGTCTACAGAGAGTCTGTATATGTTTTGCCCTTAAGGCATTCAGACCATGATTCTGCTCACTATAAAACAAAACAATCAACAACAAAATAAAAGGACATTTTTCTAAAGTCAGAATGGTCTAGAGGACACTGATTTATTTACAGCCTTTGTGTGTACATTTAAACAGCACTGTGCTTGGGAACAACCCAACATTTTTCTGGAGGATTTGTGATGAAATCTGACTTTAATGAAAAGATGCAGTTGGTATTTTTCCCTTTACAAAACAGAAAGCTAGAAAACTATTCTTGGAGTAATTGTGCGATGATTCTGGCTCAATTTTTCTAAGTAACCACTGCAGCATTTCTAACAAAATACAAGTCACATAGGCATATCAGGAAGATGTATGTGTAATGGCCGATATATGGTTATTGGACAACTTCAAATGTCCCTCTAAAATGATGGATTCTTGCCATTAGCATCTAAGAAGATTTCAAGTCTCAGTTCTGTCTTTTGCATACAAATAGTAAAACACTATATATGGTTTGTGTTTGATAGATGTTTTGTGGGCAAATGCAACAAACGAGTTGTTGCCCCACAGAAGAAATAATACAGTATATCAGTAAGACAAACCACTACTTGGAATCTAAGCAACTACAAGCCACATAACACTATAACAACCATAACCTGTGAAAAGAGGCTCGCCTGCATGCAAACACGCTGCCAAAATGATTCATTCTAGCAGCAGGCTTGCGGCATGAAGGGAGATTTAGGACTTAAGAGATGAGAAATCAATTTGAGGTCTGGAGGATGGCCAAGTGTTTTCAGGGAAGCTCTGTCTAACTGAGGGAGGCCTGGGATTTTAGAGCTTCTCCTTTACAAGAACATTAACAGTTTAATCACCTGCCAAAGAAAACCAAACATTACAAAATCCATCCTGCAAACTGTTGCACATATCAGTAATCTGACAGCAAAATTCGTCCGCAAACCTGAAACAAACATTACGAGCAAGTTCTGAGTAACCCACTATGAATCCTTATTCTCGGAGTCATCGCAGAATGCGCTCTATACTACAAAGAAGAACACCAAGTTTGCAAACACGGATACATAAAATACGATTGTGACTCTGCATGTGATTAATAAAACACATCGAGTATTTTAGATTTTGTCGAGAAAGGCAAAACTTGGGCAGAAACAAGTCACAACTTTCAGGAAATGAACAGAACTAAGGTGACTTGGAAGTTAATGCTCTCACATGCATGTGATAAATGGAAATCATTAACTTGTTACAGTTTTGTTCTCCCAAGGATGTAAACAGCACAGACAAATCAAATCACTTCATCTGAGGACCTTCCTGGACCTATAACAAAGGGTCTTTCATGCTTTTTTCCTCTCCAAACAAAATAACATCCTTTTCACTGCGGAGGTGTGGCTGTACTCACAAGTGTTTGCACACACACTGGTCAACACCCTGTTGTAAGAACACCAACAAGCAACATCCTGCTGTGCAAACAGGCCAAGAGTATGCATCGTGCACAGCAAAGCCCTTCCTTTTAAACACTGTAAGGAAGCTCTTACTTCTACTCTAATTAGAGTTTGTGCTGCCCCGTCAGCATGCCCAATCAGCTCTACCCACTCCACTTCCCCTTACACCTCCCCCAGCTGTCCCTTTCACTAACCACAACATTGGTGACTCATGTCGCCTCCTCACCAAAGGAAGAAGAAAAAAAAAAGGGTGTCGGTGTATGCCAGAGCATCTCTGCCTTGTGCCCAACAAATCTAGCTTTGGCTGAAGAATGACAGGCGCACACCTTCAGTCTCCTTGGCAGTCCATCTGTGTGTGTCTCCCCTCTTACACACTGGCATGCATCGCATCTAATTATAGTCTCAGTTAGACTTACGCACACATACACGCAAAGGGATGCTCGTGGAAGGCCACTTCTTTGAGTGAAAGTGCTGGAAACTCCCGTCTAAATACTCTTACTTCCTCGTTTCAATGGAGTGTAAGGCAAGAACCTGCAGGGAATAGGCGCTGTATGACAAAAAAGCACTGCATCACTCTTGTCAACATCTATCTGCAACACCTAAGCTCTGTTGTCAGTAAGCCACAAGGTTATGCATAAGGCAACAAGTGACTCTCCTGCGTCTGATAGCACTACGAGGCACGTTTGAGTGTAGACTGCAGCATCTGTCAGCTTTGTATGTGTCATCGTTAAACCGTTCAGCTGACCCAGAAATGCTGAAACGTTGATGGTAGACCACACGTGATGTTACCGACTCACTCACACACACACACACACAAATCTCACTGAATATTCTGTTTTTTATTAACTTAAAGATATGTATGAAGCACAATGCTCAGAAATGATTCAATTATTGTTACGTCAAACCCCCAGCTGACGTCAGTTGCAGATACGAGACAATAACACAACATTTTCTTTCCTTAAAAAACACCCCCATCAGGGACAACACATTTGGTCAACACCACAAATGTTATCAAACAATAAGCCATGAAATTTAACGCTCATACATTCATATTGACTTGTCAGCTGTTAGCCAAACATGCTACGTTTAGCTTTTAGCTAGTAGTTAGGTGCAAAACGGTGTACCACGGAAGGCCTGTCCGATTAACTTACCGTGACATTATTCTAGCGAACGCACGCTAAGGTTTCTGGAGGACGTGCCTCTTCGTTTTTCCCCTATAGTTTTAAAGAGAAAACGCCATATGCTATGCCATCTCTCGCCTCGGACGTAAGACTTCCCAATACTGTGCACCTGCTAGTGGCGACGTGTAACTCCGACGTATTCTTACGCCCTGTAAGGCTTTCCCAGTTCCTTTTCCATCGTGGGAAGTAGCGCCAGATCCCGGAACTACAATTCTCAGTCAAAAATATCCTTCCGCAGGTGGGGAGTAGGTGACGCAGGCACACGACGTATCTCTTTTTTGTTCCATTCATTCATTCATTCTTTTTTTTTCTTTTTTTTTTTGGTACTCCCTTACCTCATTCAGACCAGCTATGAAAACAACCAGACACGTTTCAGAACAGTGCTAGTCATGACGGGTCAACCAGTAGCTGTTATGGGAGCTTGTGCTAACTCCAATTGCTTGAGTTGTTTTTTTTGTTGTTGTTGTTGTTTTTTTGTTGTTTTTTTCAAATAAACCTCTTTAAAAAATAGGTCAAGACAGAAACTGCAAATGAGAAACCTCAACTGTCACTGCATATATCACTGTTATTTCACAGTAATTAATGTTTATTTAATTTATTTACTCTTATTAGTATTAAAGTGTATTCACGCACAATACAGCGTATTCCACTGTCCCTTCTCTTTCCTTCTTTCTAATATTGTTAAGCATTAGACAGCAGCTTAATTTTTAATCTAATTAGCTGCTGATTGAAGCCACATCACGTTGCTCTTACATGACTACTCCACAAGATGGCTGTGTTTTACAAAAGCCTCCTCCTACCCTCTCGAATGAATTCGTTTTAACATTAATAACGTCTTTCAGATTTAGTTATTGTTAGTTTAGTATTTCAAGTTTACTATCATTAATCATCATTTCATTATTTTTTAAAGGGATTCATGCTTTTGTCCTTTATATCAATATTCTTCATCTTTATTTATAGTTTACAGTGATGAGCATTCTGAGTGATGAGCATGCAAACCACAGCTTGACGTCAATGCCTCTCAGCGAGTTCCATAATAATAATTTAATCTGAAATGATAAATAACAGCATAAATAACATCAGAACATTTGAACATACTATCAGCTTTGTGATGCTCTGTTGCATTTTGAATCCATGTGGTCCTTTTCTTTTCCTTCTAAGATGCCAACTAGTTTATCCATTGGGTGTTTACCGAGGAGAGGGGAAGTTTGTTGGCTCTCGGGGCCACAGAGCAGTTGCTTGGCTTCTGTGTTTATAAGTTGCTGGTGCCACTGTCAGTGTCAGGGATTTACCTCTTTACAAAATCATTAACAAAGCTAATATGATCTGCATAATGTAACCCACAGAACTCAAGGCACGTGCTGTTCTTCTCATACAAGCACTTTTCAGCTTTATCCTCATACAGCTCCTGGTAATACTTGTTATTTATTGGATAGTTTTTTTTGTTGCTGTTTTTTTTAAACACTAGACTGCAGTGAGGATTCCTGTGGAAACATTAAAGCGCACATCTCCCACCATCCACTATTATCCATCTCAATATGCCAGCCAGTTAAACTATCTTTGCTGTGTACTCTTAGAGGAAACTGGCACTTGGGGATGGCACCTTGCACATTTTATGTAAGTATTTGGAAGCCAGGCTAAATGAATGCTAAAACCAAATGATCAGTTATTTTCCCATCTCAGAGGAAACTTGTGCGTGACGAGAGGAAGCTCTTTGATGCTGTAGCTGAGAATGTGGACTGTGCCACTGCATTTTAATTTCTTACTTATCTGTGTGTGCATGTGTGTGTGTGTGTGTGTGTGTGTATGAAAACTCATATTGCACATCCTTCTGACTGTGAACCGATGATCTTATAAGTGTTGAACACATCTGTATATCAAATACATTTTCACAGCTTCATCCTGACTTTCAGCGGTCTTCATGTCTTTTTTTATGTTGGGGTTTTTTTTGTTTTTGTTTTTTTTTTGCTTACAGACACATTTATACATATAAACAAAAGTTAGCAAGTCTTCAGCATAAAAAAAAACTAATTTTATATACCCTTCCATCAATCTCTCTTTTCCACAAGTCTCCTTTTCCCTTTTCTAGCTGTATGTTGACACATCAGTATGACACTATATTCTATTTCTAACCCTCTCACATTGCTTAGCTTCACCATGCCAGAGTGAGTCACATCATTAAAAATGCTCTAGCTGCCGACCTTGCCCACAATCTGCCTGGCCAAATAGTGCGCATAGTGCGAGGCTCAGTCCCTTTTTTGTTACCTCTTTCTCAATGCCCCACCTACCCGTGCTCATCGGTCTGACTGCCTCTGTCACTCTTGATAGAATGATGCCCACTGTCGAGCAAGCTCTGAATCTTACTCTGCAGTTACAATGACGTCAGGCAGAGGCAGAGACGGGTGAAGGGAGCTGCAAGGGGAGGAATAAGGAGATGGATAGAGATCGAGGTACATCCAGGGTGGGAGAATAGATGGGAGAGCAGAGGGCGGACGGGTGGAAAAATAATGCTGCAAAAAGGCAAATATGAGCTGAAAAATTACAGGAGAATGAGGAAGAGGTTTAGCTTAAAAAGGTGTGTGTGTGTGTGTGTGTGTGAAACTGAAGCAAAAGAGGGGTTAGGCTAATAGTATGGCAAGGACCAAAGCTGTACGAACACAGAAAGCAGAGGAAGAAGAGAACATGTGGGCTGAAGAGACAGTTTTTTTCCTTCCCTTGATATATTGTTTTTAGAAACTTACAGCTTCTACTGCACATGTGGGTGGGTCTTGCACACACACATGAGCACTGGCATGTTCATTGAATTAGATGACAGAGTTTAGTGATCCAGATGAATCAGCAGGTTAACATCAGATAGGTGAAAGAAAAAAAAGACTCTGAAAGGACCACTTGTTCACTCTGGATCAATTTACTGCAGTCCTGCAGTCATTTTTCAGGACAGAAGATAGCGCTGTTGCATTGCATCAGGCAGCATACAATTAACTATGCAAGTGGGCCATATGTGCGGAAATTAGATTGTAAACGTAAAGGTCTGTGTGCCCTCACGTGCGCATGGATTCAAGGATGCACTGATGTGCGTGAAAATGGGCACATGCATTACTTCTGTTCATGCATACTAATTTATATGCATGGATACAGTATATGTGTGGGTTATGTTTTTTTTATTTTTTATTGTTCTATATATATAATATTGCAGTGGATGAATCTAACTTATGTCCACATTGAAATTTACAGGAATTTAGCCTCAGCTTGAACTAACCTGAAACTTTTAAAATTAGAACATGTCTAAGTCTTTACTGCTGTGCAGGCAATGTATAAGGCACACTTTAAGTACAGTGCACAGGTTTATGTAACCTGCATGATTTGGCCTCTGGGATAATTTGCATCACTTATTCATAAGGCCAGGTTAGCCTAGCTTGAATGGTTCTCCTGGGCTGGATCGTGGGGCTTTCATACAGCTGTTACCCCAGTCTCTGAGGGCTTATCATGTGATGAGGAAGATTGAGGTTAAAGGCAGGGGCTCTGGGGCTACATGTGGCAACGGCAACTAATTTCTCTTGGGTCACATGAAGGGAGTGGTATTTTTAAATCTATACTGTTTGCAAGGTGCAACACGGACTGCTGCAACATATATAAATAAATGAAACTAAATAAATAAATAAATAAATAAATATGGAAGACAAACATGTTCTACACTGGTCCATGTAGTGAGAAGAAAAACAACTAATATATAAAAACTTGTTTTTCATTTATGGAGGTTAACTTATGAGATGTAAGATAACAATGTGACTGTTGTGATGCAATGTAAAGAAGAACGTGAGTTTGATGGTGCATGCTGATCGCAAAGGAGACAATCAATGCCGTTTTGCAGCAGAGGGAAGAACAGATGCTGAACTTTGCTAACATGAAAACAGAAGACAGAGCAAAAGACAAAGGGTACAAATCATAAAGCAGAATTTTTGTTGATAGTAATTTTCCTGCAGGACATCAAAGACCACCATCAATGTTTAATTACCCTTAAACCTGTGTATATGAACCTTCACACAGTGCTACAAGACAGCTCAGGATACATCTACTGCCAGCAAAGGAATAAAAATGCTACTTACTGCAGAGTGATATCTATTACAGCTATTACTTTATGGTTATTTGTAAAAAATAAAATAAAATAATCTAAATTGTTATAACACTTAACAAAACATCAAAACAAGTCTTTTCTATACTGTAGTTTAAAAAAATATCATTAAAGCTCCCATGAAACACTTCCCGATTGTACATTGTTTGCTGTTGGCACGAGTGATGATAGTGATGTGCTGTTTGTGTACCAATTATCTCCATCTGCTATGGCCATGTGCTGGGTGGGTGGATGATCATTATTTTTCTTAGTGATAGACAGAAAAAGAGATGCTGTAGCAACATATATCCCTTTAACCTCTTCCATCCCTCTTCCTTTCCCTTCTTGTGCAGTATTTAGGACCTTGCGAATCATGCTTGTTAACCGTTGAACCCCATACTGTGCTGTATGTCACAGTGTCTGTGTGTGTTCACATTATCATAAAATGTATAAAAGTATATAGACATTAATTTATAGAATTCTATTTCATTCCAATGTTTCATTTGCAGTGAAAGTGAGAAATGAGAATACGAAGGGATAATAAAAAAATATCTCAGATGAGGTTTTCCCCACATTCATTTTGCTACTTTATAAAAAAATGCAATTAAAATATGCTTAACTATCATCTTGGGGATCGTTGTTAAAGTTTATTTTTGTCTGTTGTTTTTTACGACTCGCTCATACACTGTTGATTTATTTAGTGGTGATATAAGATTGTGAGCACTTGCGTCAGGCCTATTAATGACCTGGTTTTGTGCCGCATACAGTTACTTGAGCAGCATGGTGGTGCAGTGGTTAGCCTCACAGCAAGAGTTGTTCTGCTTTCAAATTTGCATGGGAGGGAGTTTGCATGTTCTCTCTGTGTCTGTGAGGCTTCTTCCCACATCCAGAAAATGTGTTGGTGATTCCCAATGCGCTGCTGGTGTGAATGTATGTGAGAGTGAATGATTGCCTATCTCTCTGTCTCTCTGTTAGCCCCGTGATAGACAGGAAACCTGTCCAAGGTTCACACCGCCTCTTGCCCTATATCATATTTGGGAGAGCCTCCAGCTCCCCCTGTGACCCTGAACTGGATAAGAGGATGGATGGATGTTGCCATCTA